TTTTTGTACGGTCACAGCCCAGATCACAAGTTATAGCTCAGGTCACAAGTCACAGCCCATGTCACAACGCATGATTATTTGTTTATAGTGATTGATAACATGATAAGGCCTATGTCTTACATTTTTGTTGATAGTCACACGTTTATTCCAAATGGTCACGACACAGGTCACAAAATATGTTGCACATGGCTCATGTTTTTTTTTTATACTCACATGTTATTTTCAAATGGTCACAGCGCAAGTCACATAATATATTGCACACGACTCACGATTTTGTTCATAGTCCCATTTTATTTTCAAATGGCCACAGTACAGGTCACGTCATATTTTTGTGCATGGCTCAGGTCACAACATAGGTCACAGCATATGGCACAGGTCATAGCACAAGTCACAACATAGGTCGCAGCACTGGGCTCAGGTCACAACACATTGCTCAGGTCACAACATTGATCACATAGACTACACAGCACCACCTCACCACCACCACCGTCTTGCATGCCCTAACCCTACTTCGTCGCTGCTACTCACCACAACAACCATCACTAACGTCGCCAACACAGCCTCACCAATCAACGGTAAACCAAAAAATCATGACAATTTCCAGCACCAACAATATTGCCGCCACCACCACAAAAATTATTAGATCCACAAAACCACCACCCCCTCCACCACAAAATTATTGCACAACCACCGCAAAACAAAGATCCAAATCTGCACAATTGCCACCACCACCATTTACATGACACCCGCAACACACACACACCAACACCACCATCTCCCCCTCTTAAACTCCATAATTGAATCACAAATTTACAGAAAAATCACCCAATCTGTATTATCGAAGAAATTAGTGCGAAGTTCAAAAATACCCGATCTGGACGGAAATCAGCGGTTCACACCTCTGCAAGAAGCTCATGAACGAGACACCGCACAAAGTGCTCGCTGTTGAGGAGGTGCCGGCAGAATTGTGCGATGGTGGAGAAATGTTGAGAGAGAGAGAGAGAGAGAGAGAGAGAGAGAGAGAGAGAGAGAGGGGGCGGTGACTGGTGCGAAAAGATCCGCACGGCTTCGCCCCCGACTCAACNGACTGGTGCGAAAAGATCCGCACGGCTTCGCCCCCGAATCAACCTGTAGGCGACGCGATTTGTGGTTTTGTGGCTCCGCACGGCTTGGCCTCCGATGTCTCCTCCTCCGACGACCCATTTCGGTGGCTTGGTGGCGACGCAGTAGGAGAGGAACCCCTTCGACGCCGCCGATAAAGAGATAGAGAGAGAGAGAGAGATACGGGAGGAGGGGGTGAGGGATTTACAGTAACAAATTGGGATTTTATGGTGAGGTGGGTGATATAAATTAATTTTTATAATAATATTATTAATATTTAATTAAATTTAAAAAATCTTTATGTATATAAAAAATATTTGATTTTTGAACATTAAAACTTGAATTTTGAATTTTGAATTTGGATCTTGAAAAACAGGGTTACCTGTAATTACCACTTGAATAATATGTTCAACCCCAAGTCGAGGGTTAACCCGACTAATCAATTTCGATCTTAATTATTTCGAAGATACAATAAAAAAAATAACAAAATAATAAATTTCACAAACTATTGATAATCATGTGAAATTAAATTGAAATTATATTTTCAAAATCATTAATTTTGATATGTGTGGATCCATCAATGATTTTATTTAAATCATATATCTGGTCTCGATTTAGATATTTTAACTATTGTTTGTAATCAAAGCAAATCGTTTAATTTATGTCTACAAGCTATGATATATTTCCTTTGCAATTTTCAAGACTGTTAATTTTGATCTGTGTGGATCCATCAATGATTTGATATTTGGTCTCGATTTAGATATTTTAACTATTGATTGAAATCAAATCAAAGTGTTCAACTTATGTGGACAAGCTATGACATACTTCGTTTACATACTATGTATAAAATGTGTGAATATATCGTGTACATAATAAAATTGGGAAAAAAAATATTTCGTTAAATTAAATGATCTTCGTATCTATTTGATTCCTATCAGTCGGTCGAGCTATTATTATTAAGATCAAGAAGTATTGTATAAATACTCAGCATAAATCCGTACCTTAAAATATTCCTCACCATAATAATGTACTTTGACATTGTTAGATGTTTGTTGCACTCGACTTTTGCAAACAGCAAAAAGACAAAAAAATTAAGAAAAAAAAATCTTTAAATTTACCTTGTATGAATACATCTAATATATTTGCCAACAAGGGTTACATTGCCAATGTTCTATACCCGAATGTCGTTGGCTGCAAAGAATGTTCGGATATTTGGCCAAATAGCAATGCATATGATCTGTGTTGGCTTGAGATGGACGACTCCAATAGTGTGTCACGCTCGATAAAAACATGCATGATCATTGGTTCACATAACATGACTAATAATTACTAACTTTAAGTGACTTGTGTCGAACAAAATGTTGAAAAACAATTAGCCCCAACTCCCAAGTCAAGTGATGGATGGATAACGATTATATTTTTCATTTTTATGAATGAAAAATGAGAAACAAACGGGTCCAAAAAACATATACACCATATTCTCTTTGGATCTAGAGGGAATAGAAGATCTATGCATATATTCAATTTGACAGTCAAAAACTGAACCTCGGCTGAAATTGTTAACCTGTAAGTATTATAAGCCGAGAATAAACATATTCATCCAAGCAACCTACTAACAAAAGTTTCAATATCCTTCAATTACAGTCAGGCTCGTCACTTGCGAAATCAAAAAGCCTCAAACACTGGTGCATATCCAAAAACCTGCATATCTACTTCATCTCGTCCATCCAATAGGTCGCCCTTAACATCTCTCTCCATCTTCATTGGTCACTTGTTAGTTTCCATTAAAACTTGAAGAAGTTCCAATGGGGTAGCTGCTGGATCCAGCTCCAAGAAACCTTTTGGAGCATTCTGTGCTTCTTGGCCTGTAAGCAAGTGGCTCGGGACCAGATGAGAAAATCGAAACATTTCTCCTTTAGGTATCCTCTTAACCTTTTCCAATTCCAAATTTGGCTGAAATACAGTCTTAAAACCAACCACCTTAATTAGAGGAGCAACAGAGACACCATGTTCCTCATTGTAGTCATCAAGCACCATCGCCATGTCATACTCGTGGACAACTGCATCAGGGGTATGCTCATTCCAATCGGGCGACCAATTTTTATATAGTGCCCAAACATCATTCTTTTTGGGAAATATTTGAAGAGTCCCATATTGGCCTTTTGACCAATTAACCTTCTGAGAAAAAGAATTAATAGATTTGCATGTTTCGTATTTTCCAACCCTAAACTCCCCACACGTTTTATAGAAACCTGAGCCTACCCACTCTACAGTACCAAATTCACTGTTAGTTTTTGAATTAAGCCAGCTTATCCTCAGCTTAAATGGATTCCTTGAAATCACCTTGTTAATAAGAGCATAGAAGCGTGGCATGCCATCATCATTATCATAAGAAGCCCAAACCTCATTATCTCCAAAAGAACTTTCATTTCTATCCTGGTCGAAATCATGAAAGTCGGAATCTGGAACATTCATTGATGCTGCTGCAGAATCCCCTTGATCTGAATTATCAGTCGCAGAGATAACAAAACCTGTTTGTGCTTGTTCTCTTATATTAGTAGCAGAAAGCACACTGTTCCCATTATGATCACGTCCATTAATATCAACGGTGCTATTGTATTTCTGTCTATGGTACTCTTTTCGATTCTCTTTTACTTTATCTGCAGCTTTAGCTGTGGCCTCTGATCTCCATTCATTTAACCTCTTTACAATTTCCTTTTGAGCTTTTCCCATGAGCATTTTTCGAATTTCTAGCCATGTCAGCTCTCTACTGCTGTTTAGCTGACTGTTACTGCCAGAACAATAGATCCTTGACCCCGATGAACTTGAACTTCCAAAACCACCTGTGCCCTGGGTTATGTTATAGTTCACTCCATTTAGATATCTATCATCTAGTTTTCTCTTTCTACACTCTCCATCCAACCCACCAGTGACGTGTGATTCAGTAAATGCTCTCTTCATTTTCTCCTGTGCCTGCTGAACACCATCTGTTGCCTTTGTCGCATTTCCAGGAACCGAATTCTGCAGGAAATTTGCATATCTAGAAGAATTCGAACCAGAGTGTCCAGGTCCTGATTTCTGAGCACCAGCAACTTTTCTTCCCTGAGCAGAATGACTTTGACTATTTGCATGACTACTTGAATTCTGATGCCGGTGTCGAGAAGCTAAATTTGATGATTTGGAAAAGCCGAATGGTGAAGATGTCTCTGAAGCCAGAAAGGCCTTGTTGCAACTGGGACAAAGAAGAGTATGATTAAGATACATCTTAACATACTCATAATGCATCTTGCATCTATGACAAATGGTCCAGAAAGTATCAGCTCTTTGGTGGGATGGAGTAGGAACAGATGTGGAGGCCACCCTTGCTCTATTGTTCTGGTTCTTTTGAGCAGTTGTCTTACTTGCGGAATTATGATATCCATTTGTTCTAGGTGGAGCTGCTGGACGACTAGCATTTATCGGAACTTTTTGTTGAAACCCATTAATACTCCTCCTTTGGTTATAGGCCAACCTCTTGGCTTTATCAGATAACAGGCTCCAGGCCTCTGAAAGAAACTTAAATGCACCCTCAGCACCGACAGATTTGTTTTTGTCAGGGTGAAGCACGAGAGCCAACTTCCTGTATTGCTTCTTTATTGTTTCATCATCGGCAGAGGGGTTTAAACCAAGTATTCCATACCAGTCTACTTCCCCATTTATTTTATTCTCTGCAGAAATGTACACGTCAAATGTTGTCAAGGTTTGAGAAATGCCTTCAAGCCCTGGATATAAAATTTGTGCCTTCAAGGCAATTTTTTTAGCACCAGTAAAATCCTTATTTTCAAACTTCCCCTCAGCAATTGTCATTGCCCTAAGCGCCTCATCTCTATTGCACTCCATAGTCTCACAGTGATATGGCTCTTCAATGTTCACCTGGTTATTGATCCACACTGTTACTAGGGCATGACAATCAGTAGAAACACCCAATGACCAGCTGAATAAGAGTACAAATGCTTGAAGTTGAATCCAAAGGATTTCTCAACTAAAGGGACCCTGTTAATGTCAAGTACCTAATTAATGACAAAAAATGAAGTAAAGATGAATAATATAAACTGGACAAATTACAAAACTCAGTTACTTTACATACAAAATGGGAATTGGTGTTCATATAGATATACCAGTCGTGATAAAAGATGCACAATATATGCCTCAATCGAAATTTTACGAAGCTACTCATTTGTAGACAAGCATTGACTTAGTGGATCTTGACTTGCAACATCAAACGCATAAATTTCTCATCAGTCCATCAATCACAAATTTTGGGTCATTCAGGATGCAGCAAAAACTGCAAATATCACGGTGTGACATGGTAAGAGATCTACTAAATAAAAAAAAAAAATAATAATAATAATAATAATATCAAGCTCAGCTCTAAAGTACCCTAAAATGTTAATCTCAACTTTAAACATATCAATGATCAAAACTTTGCACATCAATGTAATATAGTTTGAGAAATTCATATCAGGTAAGATGGATCGTATCTGTGAACAAGAAAAGATGGACTACTGAGGTTCAGATCATGTATATTTCGTCTAGCAAGCACAAAATTCATACACAAGTGCAAAATGCAAGTTCTTTAAACACGAGAAATTTAAAGGAAAAAAAGTGAAACAAGAAAAATATAAATTGATCCAACTTAAGAACATCAAATTGCAAAAAGCCCATTTATCAGTAGTATTAAAAGTTTATGTAACTGAACTTACTTCACAATACTAATTGTAAAGAACAATGTAAATAACGACCACAAGCAACAAAATTACCCAAACTGGTTAAAATTCACAGATACAAAATCTCTCTCCGCATGTATGGAAAAAAAAGAAATTCCCAAAGGATATGAACAAACTTCATTAACAAGTAGAAAACGCAAAAAAAAAAAAAAAAACTCACCAATCTTCACATTCAACACGCCAGACTCAAACCCTAGATTCAGGAACAGAATTTCTGTCCTAAACAAAATTCAAATTTAAATGAAAGTAAATAGGGTAAAAGAACGATTACCCGTTAAACTCAGAATTTGAATCTTGAAAATTTTGTAGTTTTTTTTTTCCCACCAAATTGAAAAAGATTGAAACTTCGGGTCAAAACCCCACAAAGCCTGAAATCTGAAATGCCCAATAAAAATTTGTAAATGGGAAAACCGTAATCATATATTGGAGTTATATTTGACAATTCACCACTTTTTGGGTTAACTTTTAACTAGAATTACTTTACCATTTCTCTCAGAGTTTATTTAACTAGAGTTACTTTATAACTCAACATCTCAGAAATTAACTTTATAAAAGTAGATAAAGCCCTGTTTGTGCTCTATTTTTTCAAAAAACTTTTATTCTA